CTGCTAGTTGTCAGGGACAAATTTAACTCCTGTTTTACATTTCTTGGATTACGAGTAGGTGGAACATTTTCCCATGTGTTTGTTTACTGTTGGGGGGGGATTTTGGAGACGGGAGAATGTTGACGGTCGGTCTTCACTAGTCAGCAAATTAACTATTTCCACATTTTATCTGTACTTCCTCCTGGAGTTGGGTGCTATGAGGGAATTAGTTGGGGTCCGTGTCTTTGGTCAGTTTCAGTTTTGTGGAGGGGAGGGAACCCCAGACCTTAGAGAAGAACAGCGTGCTAGTGTGCCTACGGTGGGGTGCCATACACCTGGGGCCACAGGCTGGCTGAGGGCCCTGGAGGCAGGACAGAGCGTCGGCCTGGCCCGTGGACGGGACATTTTGATGCTGGCCCCAGACTCTTCCTCCAGGGGAGCTGGGTTTACACACAGCCTGGCTGTGTCCCTCAGCTTTGGTCTGAATGCAGGGCCTAGCCAAGAGTGCTGCCCTGCCCGGCTGGCCCAGGGCGGCCTGGCAGCCCCGTCTCGGCACGTACCCGGCTTTACTCTGACCTTGGCGTTGCAGGTGGCCTGCTACGGCTGCACATCTGGGCAGTGGTCCTCCGTCTGCCCGCTCCCCGCCGGGCACGGTGAGCCTGGCATCGCTGTGCTGGACACCAGGATCTACGTGCTGGGTGGCCGCTCGCACAACCGCGGCAGCCGCACGGGCTACGTGCACATCTACGACGTGGAGAAGGACTGCTGGGAGGAGGGGCCGCAGCTAGACAACTCCATCTCAGGCCTGGCAGCCTGCGTGCTCACGCTGCCCCGCTCCCTGCTCCTCGAGCCGCCTCGTGGGACCCCCGACCGCAGCCAGGCCGACCCGGACTTCGCCTCCGAGGTGATGAGCGTGTCTGACTGGGAGGAGTTTGACAACTCGAGCGAGGACTAGGGCTCCGGCACCCGGTGTCAGAAGGGGAGGTGGCGGGAGTTCTTACGGCAGTGGGGCCCCCAGGTGGCCCCCCTCCCGCTGGCACTGCCTGCTTGCCAGCTCCTGCCACCCATCCTTCCTGCCTGCCTGCCCGCCAGCCTACAGCGGCTGCTTGGGGGGCTCTGCAGATCCTTGGCTGTGATCACCCTACAGCAGGGATGCTTGCGGAGGGCTCTGGTTCTCTGGAGGAGTTTACCGGGCCTGCTCCTCCTCAGCTTGGATGGGGCATGGCAACATCAGCTGTCGTGGACTCCCCAGTACCTGGTTCTCCTCCCTGCTGTGCTGAGAGGGCACCCTTCTCCAAAGGGACCTGGGGACTGGCCCCGTGGGTGAGGGGGCCGAGGCACACTGTGCCCCCTTCCGTGGGCAGGGAGAGGGTGGAGTGAGCCCGTCGCCTGCCCAGCATCCAGAGGCTTGAGCTATTGCAAGCTCCCAAGGCCTGGAAAAGGAATAGAGATACATAGAGTTGCCCGAGACTGGTTTTAGTAATAAAAGATCCCCTACAGCTGGGCTTTTCTGACCCCATGTTGTTGATAAATGAAATAAATCATCTTACAAAAGGTGTGGATTGTTTTCCTGGGGCCGTGGCCTCACCATCCGTTCACAGCCCATGCAAGGCTGTCGTCTGTGGCTGCCTGTGGCCTTCTGGGCTCAGAGCTGCTGAGTGGCAGTGGCAGGCCAGGAGCCCCCATCCGAGGGAAAAGCACGGTACACCCCCAGCTAGCAAGGCTGTTACTGGGGAACCTGGAAACCCGCCCTGGTCTGCCGAGAGGCGGTCACCTGGCCTGCCGGAGCGCCTTCTCCGGTGAGGTGCTCTTCTCTGAACCTCAGTCCAGCTCTGTGAGCCCCATGCCTGGGGAGGGAGACCCAGTCACCATAGGCTCCCCCCTGCCTGCTGGATCTGAGTGTGGCAGGGGTGGGAAGGGGAGCTGCCTTTTCCTAGAGGGTCGCCAGCTGAGTTCTTAGCACATCGTCTCAAGGGTCATGCTGGGCAGCGGGTGGCAACCTCTCGGGGCCACCCGCGAGTGGGCTGGGCTTCCAGCACCTACCTTGCTTCTGCACAGCCGAGCTTCCACCTGAACACCCCTCCTCCTGCTGCAGCTTCTGCTCTTGCAAAGCCCCAAGGGCAGGGAGCAACCTGCACAGATGATCTGTGACTTCCCAAGTCTCCTGGGCAGAGCGGGAGGAAGACTGTGTCTTCTTTCTGTACCCCAGTGCCTTGCCCAGAGCCTGTGGCCGCTGGCAAACTGTCGTTGGTGGAGGAGGGCAGAGGGGCAGTGTGTGCTGCCTGATGGGAGGAGGGGGGTAGGGTCCAGACACCCTGAAGACTTTGGGCTCTGGTGTGAGGCCAGTGCGAGTTGCTTCCTGCCCCTAGGATCACTGTATGATCTTCCTGTCTCTTGGGGCTCGGGTACCCCTGCAAAAATATGCCCCCACTCCCTAAGCCCAAGGTGACATCATGCACTTCTAGCTCGGGTGGCAGTCCCAGTGTTCACCCTAGTGGGTCACTTCCAGTGGGACAGTGTGGCCACGTTCTTCAGTGTCCTCTCCCCTGCTCAGGGGCTCACAGTAGGAGCCAGCATTTCCTGTCTCTGCCACTACCTTGCACTGTCCAGCTTGGAGGCCTTCATGGCTTCCCCCCTCAGCACCTGTCCTGGGACCTAGGCAGCCTGGCAGGCTCTCAGAGAGGCCCTACATCCCGCCTTCACTCAGCTCGGCGCTCACCCCTTTCCGCCTGCAAAACCCTCGCCCTCTCAAGTCCCCCTGGGAAGCCATCCTGGCTGGAACCAGTTGGCCCAGGCTCCAGACCCCCATGGGGTAGCTGTGTGGTTGTTAGTCATCTGTGGGTGCCCCTGAACCCACAGCTTCCTCATCATGGTATTCACCTGGCACCAGGCCAGTCATACAGACATTCATTCGCACTTCTCAGTCTCCTGATGGGCATGTGACGGTGGCTGGGACAGACGTGGGCCCTGTGTTCAACCCTGAACTTGCCATCAACTGGGGGGTGGCTACGATGGGACACGTGTGGAGGACTGCCGTGGGTCTTGAGTGAGATGAGGCCGGCGACAGTCCTGCGAGTGTGGGGAGCAGCCAGATGTGATTAGAAAGACGGCTCTGGGTGATACGCTGATGGGGTAGGTAGAGATTTGAGACACTCGTGAGGTCCTGGCATTGGCATGGAGTGGGGGCGTCATCCAGCTGGCGCCCTTCACAGAGGAGGGAATTTGGGGGTGGCAAGCCGGGAAGGGAAAGAAGGGGAGGGAGTTTGAGGTGCTTGTCCATGAACTCGGGCCAGCTGGGGTGGGTGCTTCTAAAGCCGGGGCCTCTGTTGGCCCCTCTTGCTGGCAGTCTACGGGGGAGTTTTGGGAGGGGCCCTGGGCACTGGGAGGGCACCGCTGAGGTCAGGGCCGTGCCCGGGGGGAGCTGCCCACAAGTAGCTGGCCTGTTTACTTGTCCCCAAGGAGTGTTTGCATTTGTGATCTCAGGGGTGCAACGACCCCTTCCAGTCCCACCGCTGTTGCCTGCCTCTGGCCCCCCCTCCTGCACCAGCATGGCTGACGGAGGGCCCTAACCTTCGAAGTTCCCTATTCCGCTCCTTCCCTCCGCCAGCCTGCCCTTGGACAGGCCTCTGGCCCAGCCAACCTGGTGAGGTCCACAGCCTTGGGCCTTCCAGTGGCTGTTATCCCAAGCCCCTCCTTCAGCCCCCCTTCCACTCTGACCACCTCCACTTGACTGAGGAAGGGCAGCACCTCTCCCTCCTCCTCAGGGAGCCTATCTGCAGCCTGTTCTCCAAGAGAAGGCAGGTGTCCTCTCCCTGCACAGGTCTTCCCACCAACTCCCAAGTCTGCCAAAGACAAGCTCGTCTTTGCTGGGACCTGGAGGCCCCCCTTTGTTTTCCATGCCCAGGCCTGCCCACCTTTCCCCTGCTCCATGGTCTCTGGGATTGGGTCTGTGTCCCAGAGCACAGGCAACTCCTCTGCTTCCCAGGCCCAGAGCTCCTCTTCCTCCCTCTCGCCTTCTCGCCCTGTTCCTCTCTCCACATTGCTCCCCTCCCCCACGGCCCCTGCTCCTCTTTATGCTCTCACCCCACTTTTCCTAATGCAGGACCCCCCAAGCCTCCACCTTCTGGACTTTTACCTCTGGTGATCCAACAGCCTTCTCAAGTAGAATTTCTCTCCCAAACTCCCCCATCGCCACTGGAGGAGTACTGCAGGGTCTCCCAGTTCTGGAGTACTCCCCTCTCCTCTCTCTGCCTTTGCCCCCAACTGCATTTCCCTCCACACTCTATCAGAGCCCACTGCTGGGCCCTTCTACCTTCCGCGGAGACACCCTTTGCCCAGCGCTCAGGTGCAGACCGAGTCGACCCAGAGGCCTCAAGCACCCCGTTCCGGTGTCCTCTGCAGGCTTTGCACCCGAAGTGAGCCTGAGGAGCCAACATCGCAGCCCAGCTCTACAAGGGCTTCGCGGCGGGGAGCGGAGGCCGGCTTGCGGCCTTGATCTGGGCCGTCTTCGGGCCGCCCTCCCCCGGCCGGTTCCGAGGCGCAGCGGGCCGGGGGAGATTTGGGGCGTCGCGTGCTCGACCCTCACCCCCTTTCCCGCCCCGGGCCTGGCCGCGCACTGAGCGCGCAGGGGTGACTTCTCTGATGGGTGTCTGGAGAGGGAGGGGAAAGCCTCGGGGACTAGGGATTCCTTAGGAGGGGCTCCCCTCCCGCCCGGGCCCCTCCCTCTCCCAACGCTCCGCGGGCCTCCTCCAAGTTCGCCCCCAAGTTTGCGAGCGGCCGCGTGGGGGCGGGGGCCGCGCGGAGGGGCGGCGGCGCGGCCGGAGGGTGGGGTCTGGCGCGCGGGGCGGGCGCTGCCGCCTGGCCGGCCGCGGCTGGCCCGGGATCAGGGAGCCGATGTGGAATTTCCTGCCCGGCCCGGCGCCCCTCCTGCCGCCCCCCGCCCGGCCGCGCACTCCGCTTCCGGCCGCTCTCGCTGCGGCCGCACCCGCGCCCGCGCCCGCCCCGCGCCTGCCCCGCGCCGCATGGAGGGCGCAGGGCCCCGGGGGGCCGGGCCGGCGCGGCGCCGGGGAGCCGGGGGGCCGCCGTCGCCGCTGCTGCCGCCGCTGCTGCTCCTGCTGCTCTGGCTGCTGCCCGGCCCCGCGGCGTCCCAGGAGCTGAACCCGCGCGGCCGCAACGTGTGCCGCGCGCCCGGGTAGGAGCCCGGCCTGGCTGGGGGAGGGGGCCGAGGGGGGCGCTCGGGGCCGAGGAGAGGGGGCGTCCGGGACCTTCCTAAGCTAACCGCTCTAGTCCTTTCCACCGCCCTCGCCGACGCCAACTCCTCTCCAGGCCGAGCCTGGGCGCCGGGCCACGACGGTGCATCCGAAGTTACCCCAGACGCGAAGTCAGCCGAGGGGAGAATGGAGTGCAGTGGGCGTCCCGAGGGGTGACATACCGTGTCTGAGATTTCAGACCGAGAAAAAGGAACACTTGGGCTGGGTTGCGAAGGCGTAGGGAGAAGTCGGGGAAGGGCATTCCAAGCCGATGGAAGGGCATTTGCAAAGGCCCCGGGCACCAGTGTGGCTCGAGCTGGGGAGGGAGGGTGGGGGCCGAGTGGAGATGGAGCAGCGCTCCTGAGAGGTGGGAGCCGGCGAACCTTGAGGCTGGCGCGACTCGGAAGGAGGGATTTGTGTCTTAGAAGTAGGCGCGGGTGGGAAGAGGGTGGTGATGGAGGTGGGCACTGAGGAGCCTGCTCCCAAAGTGGACCAGACGCCGGATTCGAAAGGACAATGACGGGCACCGGGGTCCGACGGATATGGAACTCCCGGGTGGGGATACTGGGTGCTCGGAGGGGCCGCACAGACGTGGGACTCCACGAGGTGCCGGCTGGGGAAGCCAGCGTGGGACAGGCAGTGGGCAGGCCCGGCCGGAGAGCGGCGGCCCGAAGATCTTGCGCGGAGGAAAAAGAGCGGAGGACAGGACGCTAGGAGTGGGCGCAGGGTTCGGAGGACTTGGTCGGCCGGTCAGAGGCCATAGCGAGGTCAAGGGCATCTCCACCTGGGGCCAAGGAGCCGGCGTATGGGGGTGCCTTGGCTCAAGCCGGGGCGGTTGCGGGGGGGATGCGCCGGGCGGGCGGGAAGCTGGAGAGGCGGCCACAGGGCCCCAGGCTGCGTCCCGTCGGGGCGCCCTGAGCCACAGGGCCCTGGGAGGCCGCGTCCGGGGGCTTGGCGGTCGCCGCAGACAAGGGGCTGCGAGGGGGCCGCGCGGGGTTTCCGAGCTCGGATCCCGAGGCGCGCAGACCCCTCCCCACTGCGAGCCCCGCCTCCGGGGCGGGGGCCGGCCTGGCCCGCCATCTGCTTCACATCGACGCCGCCGCCGCCTCCCGGGCCTCCCCGGCCCCAGGAATGCAGTGGCAGTGACGGGCGGGGCCGTGCCTGGAGAGGGGGAGGGCGCGATCGCTGCCGGCCCTGTCTCTCCGCCTCAGCCCTCCTTCCCCGATGGGGCTCCGTGCTGGGGGCTCCGGCGGCAGGCTCGAGCTGTCGGGAGCCTGAACCCTTCGCTCCCGCGTCCCGTTGCCCGGGCACCTCCCCACGAGGCGGCCTGTTTCAGTAGCCCAGACACCGGGTTTGGGTTTCCGGTCCTGGTGCCACTTCTCCCCGCCTGTGCGGAGGACGGGACAAATCGCTTAACCTGCCTCCGTCAAATGGGGTTGTTGGTGGTCCCCCCCTCATGGAGTGGAGAGGGGACGGTTGCGATTATATGTGGAGCTGGTTTATCGGAAGGACAGCCGCCTCTGGCCACTGCCCACCCAGGGTCTGGGCCATCTCTTTCATTACCGCTTCAAGGCTTCCACGGGGGGGGGTTCCTTTTCCCCAGAGGCAGGAGAACCGGAAGAGGGGAGCAATACACTCAGCCAGTAAAATCCCATGCACCTACTGTGTGTGCCAGGCCTGTGGTTGGTGCAGCCATACAGCGGCTGAGACAAATACCACTGTCCCCGCAGTGGAGGAAGACTTACAGCAAGTCATCTGACATCTAGCAAGTGCTGGGGAGGAAGTGTTCAGTTGGGGAGTGCTGTATCCTTTAGGGTGATCACCCACTGAGGGGTGATGAGTGGGCAGAGATATGGTGGAGCCCTTTGGTGTCTGGGGGCAAGGCTCTAAGTGCCAGGGGCTTCTGGAAGCACAGAAAGGAGCCATGGGGGCTGGGCAGAGCCTGGGAGGGGGATGGTGGAGGAGAGGCCAAAGAATGAGGGTGGGCAGGCCCCAGCGGGTCTGCCCCCTGCTCGGGGGACCTGGGCTTTTTCTTTGAGAGCCATGGGAACCCCCAGGGGCATTGCACAGAGGAGGGTTGGGATCTGACCAGGTTTGGCTGCCAAGTGGCAGATGAACTTGGCTCAGGAGGTTAAAAGGAGGAACCAGCTAGGAAGTCAGTCAGGAGAAACCAGGGAGAGTGAGGGTGGCTCTCACAAGCCTGGGGCAGAGGAGCGAGAAGTGGCTCGTCCCATCCTAGATCCAGTTTGGAAGGTAGAGCGGCGTGTTTCTCCATGAATCGGGTGTGTGCTGTCTCAGTCCCTGGAGGGCCGATGCCTCGAGTTTCGGGCTCCCAGCCTGGAAGGACTGCACTACCTGAGATGGGGAAGTCTTCGTTTGGGGGCGGCTAGGCATTCAGTCTGGGGAGGTCGGCCCCACTGGAGGGCTCTGAGCATTTTCAGCACCTCAGCTAGGTGGGCCCCCGGGAGCTTCCTGAGGGAGTGGACAGAGGAGAGGAGATGACAGAGCCAAGGAAGGGGGCAGAAACCAGAGGAGGGGTATGGAGCGGGGGCAGGAGGAGAGCAGGTAAGTATAGGATCCCAAGTGGTATGGTAGGCAGCCCCCAGGCTGGATTGGAGAGAGAATGCGGACTTGGGCACAGTGAGCAAGCAGTTCTCCCAGGCTGCTTTGCTGCATTGGCATGGGCAGGTTCAAGATCACACGGTTTGAATCATGGCGGTTTTGTTTGCAGTGACAGTGACCTCTAGAAGGGGCAGCCCGAAGCAAGGCCCGCTTGCTAAGGGGCCTGGCCCAGCCTGTGGCCTGGCACCCCAGGGTCTCACTAACTTATAGCTCAAGTGTGGGAACTGTCCCCTGTGCCAGGCCATTTTCCTCCTCATCTCACTTTTGTAAGTTCTGGAGAGGGTGGGCTTGCCCCCACCCCTCCGCCCCAACCTGGCCTCGTCTGTCAGCCCTCCCAGAAGGAAAGGCAGCTGACCCACAGTCTCCGCTTCATGGTCCTGCTGAACCCACGTGCACTCCATCCTGCCAGGGGTAGCTCTGCTGGGTGGGCCCTAGGTACCAGCCATGCTGGGGGCGGGAGGCAGGACCAGGGGAACTCAGGGGCTTCCTGGAACCTGCACAGCACGGGCTGGAGAGCAGTCTATGGCCTTGGCTGAGCTCTGAGTTCGTGCCAAACGACATCTTGGGAGACATCTTGGTTTTCTTAATACTCCCTCCAGACCCTTGGGCCCCATTCTACAAATCAGGAGTCTGAAAGTCAGAGAGGTTAAGTTCTGTGCCCAAAGTCACACAGGCATCAAATCCAGCTTCGTGTGGCCCCTAAAACCAGACTCCCAACCACAGCCAGGGCAGGGCAGAAAGTGGTCAGGGCTTCCAGGTCCATCCCAGCTGGCCATCCGGCAAGGCCGCCTATAGGAGGGCCACCTGCAGAGGCTCTCCACCCAGAGACCTGGGTTCCGAACTGGCAGAAAGGGCAGGAGGGTGATAGGCTGGCGGATCTGGCTCTACCTGCAGGTGGGCACCTATGAGTCGTGTGGCTGGGCTAGGTAGCTGGAAACAATGGTGGGGGCCAAGCCTGCTTTTTGTTCTCGGGCCTGGTTTCCTGTTTCATTTGTAGAAAAGAAGCTGGGTCCACCTCTTGCAGTTCGGGATTTTATGGTTCCTGTTCCCAAGTCTCCTCATCTTTGGCCTGAAGGAGAATCAAACCCTTTGGGTGGGGTGGGGGCCTATCCAGGGTGTGGTGATGCTCTCTGCTGGGGAATGGCTTGGGGGGGCATTTTGAGGGGCATGATATGGGCACCTGCAGTCTTTCCCTTCCCAGCCAGTTCTACCCACCAGGGTCTCAGGCCTCTTTCCAACTTCTTTCCAACACCACATCCTGGTTCTGGATGAGACCCTTCTGAAGGAGTATACTCCTTTTTCTCTGAAGTATGAATGGCTGCTATGTGCCTTTAGGGTCTGGGTGAAGTTCTAGGCCTGATGGGACCCATGAACCTGCAGCCTGAGTGTCTCTTCCTTCTCAGGCTTCTTTGCTCTCCAAATGTGGGCACACCCCATCTCAACCCCCACGCACGCTCTCTGGTGATATGCATCACTCTGGCAGGGCTTCCAGACTTTTGGGCCCAGGGTTGGGTAGGCTCTACTACCCTGAAATGCAACAGTCATAAGGTATTTACCTCCTACTGAGGTCACACCGTGTACCTTGTAAAACCAAATAAAATTAAAACAAGATTTTTAAAACACATAAATAGATGCTCTAGTATCTCCTCCCTCCATCCCAAGTCTTGCCCTGGTGCTCTGGACCCCTCACGTTTTGCGTTCCTTGCTGTCGTGGAGGACTCCCCGGGTATGCCCTGCCCCTCCACTGAGTGGACACCTCTGTCAGAGGCTGCACATCTGCCACCTGGGTATCCAGGTGTGCCCATCTGGCCCCACCAGTCCCTGCTGTCCAGGTCATGTCACATCTAGATCCTGACACCCATCTGGCCGGGCCCCCGCCGCCGCCAGCGATGCCACTTGAAGCAGGTCCCAGAGACTCAAGGACCTCTCACCAGCTCCTTCTGGGACCCCTGGGGTTCTTTCCTCAGGCCTAGGTGGGGAGGGGTTGTGTCACAAAGGAGTTAGGTGGGATGGGGAGGGGAGGGATGACCCCTCATCGAGGGGCCAGTAAAGTTCTTGGGGGTTAGATCCCTTGGTGGTCTGCCCTCTGCTGCCTCCCAGTGTCTGTTCCAGGGCTGGAGTCTGTGTCTTACTTGCTGGCAGTCTCCTGAACTTACCTCGGTACCTGGCATGTGGCAGGGCCTCCTTAAGCAGCTCCACCAGGGTGGAGGTGGCTGGCGAGCCCTAGCAAGGACCGGGCTTGGGGCCCAGGCTCAGGAGCCCTTTCTCTGCCTGCAGCTCCCAGGAGCCCACGTGCTGTGCCGGCTGGAGGCAGCAGGGCGACGAGTGTGGGGTCGGTGAGTGGGGCAGCCTGGGGACCTGGGCGGGGGGCAGGGACACGGAGAGGAGGGGGCAGGACACCGAGAGCTGGGGGCAGGCCAGGCGGCAGCTCAGGCCCGTCTCGTCCGCAGCGGTGTGCGAAGGCAACTCCACGTGCTCGGAGAACGAAGTGTGCGTGCGGCCGGGCGAGTGCCGCTGCCGCCATGGCTACTTCGGTGCCAACTGCGACACCAGTGAGCGAGGATCCGGGCGGGCGCTGGGCAGTGGGGCGGGGTCCGTGACCGGGGTGGGGTCTGACCCGGAGACGGGATCCGGCATGGGGGACGGTCCCCAAAGGCGGAGGGCGGGACGCGGGGAGGTTCTGGCTGGATCCGGGCTCCCTCGCTAGCACCCTGGCTTGACACCCACTCTGCCCGCCCCTGCAGAGTGCCCTCGCCAGTTCTGGGGCCCCGACTGCAAAGAGCTGTGTATCTGCCACCCGCATGGGCAGTGTGAAGACGTGACGGGCCAGTGTACGTGTCACGCGCGGCGCTGGGGCGCACGCTGCGAGCATGCGTGCCAGTGCCAGCATGGCGTGTGCCACCCGCGGAGCGGCGCGTGTCGCTGCGAGCCTGGCTGGTGGGGCGCGCAGTGCGCCAGCGCGTGCTACTGCAGCGCCACGTCGCGCTGCGACCCACAGACGGGCGCGTGCCTGTGCCACGCAGGCTGGTGGGGCCGCAGCTGCAACAATCAGTGCGCCTGCAACACGTCGCCGTGCGAGCAACAGAGCGGCCGCTGCCAGTGCCGCGAGCGCACGTTTGGCGCGCGCTGCGAGCGCTACTGCCAGTGCTTTCGCGGCCGCTGCCACCCTGTGGACGGCACGTGCGCCTGCGAGCCGGGCTACCGGGGCAAGTACTGCCGGGAGCCGTGCCCTGCCGGCTTCTACGGCCTGGGCTGCCGCCGCCGGTAAGCGCGAGCCCCTGACCTGGGAGGAGGGGCGGGGGGTGGGGTGGGGCGGGGCGCCGAAGGGGACGGGGGTGGGGCGGGGCGGGTGAGGCGGCTCTGGGCCCCGCCTAGCCTCCCGCCCTTTCCCCAGATGCGGCCAGTGCAAAGGCCAGCAGCCTTGCACGGTGGCCGAGGGCCGCTGCCTGACTTGCGAGCCCGGCTGGAACGGCACCAAGTGCGACCAGCCGTGCTCCACCGGCTTCTATGGCGAGGGCTGCGGCCACCGCTGCCCGCCCTGCCGCGACGGGCATGCCTGCAACCACGTCACTGGCAAGTGCACGCGCTGCAACGCGGGCTGGATCGGCGACCGGTGAGCAAGCAGCCCATGTCCGAATGTGTCCCAGGCACGCAGCCCCCTAGCCCCGCCAGTCTCCGAATGCTCTCCGCGGAGGGAGAGCCTTGCTCCCATTTCCAATGACTCCCTCTCCCCCGCGTTTCGAGGTGCGAGACCAAGTGCAGCAATGGCACTTACGGCGAGGACTGTGCATTTGTGTGCGCCGACTGCGGCAGTGGCCACTGCGACTTCCAGTCGGGGCGTTGCCTGTGCAGCCCTGGCGTCCACGGGCCCCAGTGAGTGCCGGAGACCCAAAGGGGGTTAGGGGATACGTGCATGTCACAGGGATCCAGCCAGACCCCAGGTGCTGCTCATGGTGGCCGAACAGATGAGACCCAGGCTCGGCCCTTCAGCCTAGGTCCTCTTACCGCATCTAGGGAGTGCTGTCAGACTCTTTGGGGTGGGGGTGGGGGGCAGTTTCCTGCCGTGGTGTGGAGCCGGCGCTCGGAGCGGGATCTGGCAACCAGTTCCGCCTGTGGTCCGTGGGCTTCTGAGGACTGCAGGGTTGAGGTGACCCTGAGCTAGTGCAGAGAGAGCAGAGACCTCCGCTTACAGCCATGAGTGGTCTGGCAGCCCCTCTTCTCACCCAGCCAAGAGTCAGCCCCAGAAGTGGACCCCGAGGCCGAGCGACCACAGGCCCTGTCTCCCAATCCCATCCCGCTGGTTGTGCAGCACATTCATTTCCAAAACACTGATCATCCAGTGTATGCCCGGCGGTCGTGGTGGGCCATCAAACCCTAGAGCAGGGAGATCGAGAACCCGGCTCCGGGGCCGCGGCTAGCTGGCCGCAGGGGCGAGGGCGAGGGGCGTCACGGAGGGCTGCTGTGGCCCTCCCTGACCCCGTGCCCCCGCAGCTGTAACCTGACGTGCCCGCCTGGGCTCCACGGCGTGGACTGCGCCCAGGCCTGCAGCTGCCACGAGGACTCGTGCGACCCGGTCACTGGTGCCTGCCGCCTGGGTGAGTCGTTGAGGGGGCATCCTGTTGAGGGCGATGCCAGAGGTGCCGGCCCCCGCGCTGACCCCGGTGCCTTCCCACAGAGACCAACCAGCGCAAGGGCGTGATGGGCGCGGGTGCGTTGCTTGCGCTGCTCCTCGGCCTGCTGCTCTCGCTGCTCGGCTGCTGCTGCGCCTGCCGCGGCAAGGACCCGGCGCGCCGGTGAGGCCCGACGCCGGCCGGCTCTCCTGGGCTCAGGCCGCACCCTGTCTGTAGCGCTGCGCGCCCTACCCCGGCCCCCGGCCCCCGTCCCGGGGTGTGGCACTGCCTATCTTTAGCTCAGGTCCCGCCCTTCCTGAGTCAGGGCTCCCGCCGAGATCCAACTGTCCCATCCAGGCCCCGCCCCTTTACTCAGGCCCCGCCCCCGCAGGGAGCTCACGCTCGGGAGGAAGAAGGCGCCGCAGCGATTGTGCGGTCGCTTCAGCCGCATCAGCATGAAGCTGCCCCGGATCCCGCTCCGGAGGCAGAAGCTGCCCAAGGTCGTAGGTAAGGATATCGGCACGGGGTCTCTGGGGGGGGGGGAACACCTCCCGGTGCAGGACATACGGGGCCTTGAGTGTTGATGTGGGTGGGCTGGGGAGGGACGCAAAGAGGGGCTTCTGATACCCGCGAGCCCGGGGAGGAAAGCAGGAGTCCTAGGTGTGCAGGCAGGTGTGGGAGGTTTGGGCCCTGTTTCGGTGAGTGGGAGTGATTGCATCTGGAGTGTGTAGACATCCCAGTGGGCAGGACCCGCACGATCTGTAGCAGTGCACTATAAGTCCTGGTGGGTAGCTGCAGGTGAACGCGGGCTGGAGGGGGTCGGGGGGGGGGTGGGGGTGGTAGGTCGGACCTGTGCATGGAAACCCTGCTACAAGGAGCGCCCCCCTGCCGCCTGAAGTGCTCTGGGTCCTTTCTGCAAGGTGGGCAGGCTGGTTCCATGGCTCCCCCACCCTAGTCAGGACTGCAGTTGGGAGAGAGGTGCTTCTCTCTGTCTGTTTGCACTGAGCCACAGCAGGAGTGGACTCTCCCTTTTTGCCACTTGTCTCTGAAGATGAAGGGGAGGGGGAGACTCATCTCCTGGGAGGTAAAGATGGAAACAGCTGGGACTCCTGGGTGGTTCGGTCAGTTAAGTGTCTGCCTTCGGCTCAGGTCATGATCCTGGGGTCCTGGAATCATTGGGCTCTCTGCTCAGCAGGGAGCCTGCTTCTCCCTCTGCCTCTGCCTGCCGCTTTCCCTGCCTGTAATAGCTCTCTGTCAAATAAATAAATAAATAAATAAATAAATATATAAAATCTTAAAAAAAAAAAGATGGAAACAGCTGAGAAAATCCCTTGGCCTGCTCAGCAGAGGTGGCTCTGGGTCCTTGGGTCCCACAAGGCCAGGTCTGAACATGACTGGGAGGCCCTGATGGCCTGTGCCAGCCAGGGGTTCTCTCTGGCCCTCTTTTTCCAACACTTCAGCCCATCCTTGTTCAGCTTCCTGGCTGCACACACTAGCCTTGCATCTTTGTTCCCCCTTCTCTCTTTTTACCAGCTCACCTCTACCCATTCTCCTGTCCTGGTCTAGTGTCACTCTGCCTGTTGAATTGCTTGTTCTATCCGGTCTTAGGGTAGGGCTGGTCTTGGTTACTCCACCATTTGTTGCAAGAGGGCTGGTGAGGGCACAGGCCAGGGCAGAGTGGGGGCCCCTGGCAGCTGTGCCTCCCTCCTTCCCCAGTGGCCCATCACGACCTGGATAACACACTCAACTGTAGCTTCCTGGAGCCACCGTCGGGGCTGGAGCAGCCCTCGCCATCATGGTCCTCCCGGGCCTCCTTCTCCTCCTTCGACACCACCGATGAGGGGCCCGTGTACTGCATACCCCACGAGGGTGAGTAGGGCTCTGCTTGGGCCTCCCTCCAGGCAAATGAAATGTTCTAGCTGAAGAGATCTCCGTGCTCCTTGGGACAGACAGCATGGGGAGGGAGGGTGTGGTGATGCTTTTAACTGGGGGTTGGACACAGAGCCGAGGCTATGGAGTGGGGTTCTGTGCTGCTCAGCGCTGAACTGGGGTAGGGTCTGGGGAGGTAGGTGGGCTCTCTGGTCTCTAGCCACAGCCCAGATTCACTTACTGGGGAGGCCATTCATAGAGAAGGTTCTGGGCCTGGGTAGGAGTTGGAAGAGGAGATAGGAGCAGATGGCCTACAGGGTATGGGGCACACTTTTGCCTTAAGTTTTGGCCCACAGACATCTGGAAGGAGGCTGACTGGCTGGTTTTCTGGCCTTGGCCTCTCTCGTCCCCTGGCTATCCCCCTGGGTGACCTTGGGCAGGTGACTAACCTCTCTGAGCCTTAGATGCCTTATCTCTTAATGAGGAATAATGAATCCCCTTGGAGGTGTTCCAAGGTCATGTTTGATGATGTGGCCCCCCAGGTTGGGGATGTGGTGGGGGAAGGGTGAGACCAAGGTTGGGGCTTCAGCCCCAGGAATGTTGCCCCTCACCTCCCAGCACTCGGCAGCACACCCTGGGGGCTCAGAACTAAGTTCCCGGTTGGTGTTGTGATTTCTCCAGGCGTGTCTAGATGCCAGGGCGACTGAGCATCACCTGGGGCGGGGAAGAGGAGGAAGGTGAGGGTTTTGCCTGAAGGCTGGATAGCCGAGCTCCCTGTGGAGGCCGTGACCGTCAGCTCTTCTTCCCTTGTCAGAGACCGCAACCGAGAGCCGGGACGCGGAGCCCCCCACCGCCCCTACCGAGGCGCTGGCGTCATGCCCCGCGCCGGTGACCACGCCGGCGTCCACAGAGGAGGCGACGCCCCTCCCCGCGTCCTCTGACAGCGAGCGGTCGGCGTCTAGCGTGGAGGGGCCCGGCGGGGCGCTGTACGCGCGCGTGGCCCGGCGCGAGGCCCGGCCGGCCCGGGCCCGGGGAGAGGCTGGGGGCCTGTCACTTTCGCCATCTCCCGAGCGCAGGAAGCCGCCTCCACCCGACCCTGCCACCAAGCCCAAGGTGTCCTGGATCCACGGCAAGCATGGCGCCGCTGCCGCTGCAGGTGCGCCCTCACCGCCACTCTCGGGACCCGAGGCCGCGCCCAGTCCCAGCAAGAGGAAACGGACGCCCAGCGACACGTCGGCGCGGCCGGATGAGCCCGGCAGCCCCCGGGCCCGCGACCCAACGCCTCGGCCCCCGGGGCTGGCGGAGGAGGGGCCCGCCCTCTCCGCCCCCTCGCCACCTAGGGCTCGGGCGCGGGGTCGCGGCCCTGGCCTCTCGGAGCCCACGGACGCTGGCGGTCCCCCGCGCAGCGCGCCCGAGGCCGCCTCCATGCTGGCCGCGGAGCTGCGCGACAAGACTCGCAGCCTGGGCCGCGCCGAAGGGGCTCCGGGCGCGCAGGGCCCGCGAGAGAAGCCGGCGCCGCCGCAGAAGGCCAAGCGCTCGGTGCTGCCCGCCTCGCCGGCCCGCGCTTCCCCTGCGCCAGAGGCCCCGGGGCCCGAGAAGGTGGCGGCCGGCGCGCCCGCGCCTGACACCCCCCGGAAGAAGACCCCCATCCAGAAGCCGCCGCGCAAGAAGAGCCGGGAAGCGGCGGGCGAGCTGGGCAGGGCGGGCGCGCCCACCCTGTAGCAGGCGGTGGCCCGGTCGTGCCCGCCGGTTCCCCAGGCTTAGCAGCGCTGCTTGCCCCCCCCGCGTTCCGCGCCCGCCCGACGTGCCCTGCGGCGGCCAGGCCACTGCCGCCTCGCGGGACCTCGGCCCGGAGCAGCCGGGCGGGAGGCTGCGTCTCATTGGCTCAGGCTCCGGCGGGCGGGAAGACCCCATTCCATTGGTCAAGGCCTGACAGGCGCTTAGCAGGCGACTTCCTTCCCATTGGCCGAGGGCTCCGACCAGCCAGGGTCTCAAAGGCCGAGAGACCACCTCTTACTGGCCCAGAGTGCACTGGGCTGGGGTACCCTCCCATTGGTTGAGGCCAGAAGCACTTCTGTCTCGGCTGCCTCTCATTGGCCAGGGCCTGGCGCCTCTGGCTAGAGGCCTCTTTCCTTGACGGTAGCCAAAGGCTACTTCCACTGGCCAGGCTGAGGGCATCTGGTTGACTGGAGCCTGGGGAGAAGGGCTGGTCTCTGCTCCTCAGGGGGCTCAGCGTCCCCTGGGCCCGGCCTGTCCCCCCTCCCCACTTCCCCTCCCTGCGCCCCCAGCCCCAGCCTCCCTAGCCCTGGCCCCTCAGCTGTCGAGCTGGTTTTGATGGCCCCCCACCACCCCACATGCCGCGGGAATCCGAGGGGCGACTCCAGTGGTCCGAGGAGATGTATTTATAGGCCCCCGGCAGGGCTGCTCCCACCCCATCCGGGTGCCCCAGGATGGGCTCCTCCCGGCAGGGGCTTGGCCAAAGCTTTCTTAATAAAGTGCCTTTTTTTCCTCCTGTGTTTTGCTTGCTTCCTATCTGCCCTTCCTCGTGCAAGGATCTTCCCTCGAAAGAATTCCTGTGACCTCTTCCAACCAGCACGCATGCGCAAGATTCCTCTACCTAAGCAGAGCCTGGAAGCCCAGGTGTGGGTCTCTTGGGACCAAGTTGGAAGTGGGTAGTGTCCATCGGCCCATCATTTATTTATCAAGCTTATTGGGCACCCACCTTGGCCCACCCCATTCTCGCCTGGCAGCCTAGGATGAAGGATGGACCAGAACAGATAAGGCGGAGTCCCTTGGCTACAGGGAGTTTGCGCCTGGGACTGCTTCTGAACTGTGCTTCTCCCACGGGCCACTGCTGTTACACTCGGGGGTTCCGAGCTGTTTGGTGTGGCTGGGGCAGGTCAGAGGCTGGGGCCAGGGGGCAGTGGGCCACAGGCATAGCTCCAGCCGGGCCTCGTCAGGCACAAACAAGATGGTGTGGCCCTGCACAGAGCCCCGCTGTCTGCCTCAATGGGCTCCTTGTCCTCAGCCGGAAACTCTCACTGCCCTCCCCACCAAGCTGAGGGAGGCGGGGGAGAGGGAAGGGAGCGTGCCTGGCCCAGAGCCCTGGCTGGCCTCGCAGGCAGTCCCTGCTCTGGCCCAGACTTCTATCTGTGGCCATTTGCGCCGCACCCCCACCCCCAGCCACAGCATCTTCACTGCCTCTGGCCCTCTGACAGGCCTCCCCTGTGACCTGCCTGGGCTACAAAGCCTTAATTTCTAGGGTACCCGCTGGCCTCTGTCCATCTGGTTTCCTCCCATCCCCCTGCCTCTGCCCAGCAGGTCTCTTTCCATCTTGATGCCCAGCAGTTTTGATCAAGAGGTTCTGCCAAGATCCTCCAATCAAATCCCCAGCGCACCCCCCGCCCCCTGCAGCTCACAGTGTAGCACAGAGTCTGACTAACGCCGGCAGCTCAGGGATCACATTGAGGTCAACTTCAGTGACCCATGCAGGGGCTTAGCCACCTGAGTGGAGATGGCCTCATGCCGTGGGCGGGACATCTGATGTGGCTTGCGTGGACACAGTCCTGGCATTTGGCCTGGTCAGGCAGCACGTGGAATGCAGGCTTCCCTCTGGCCAGCCGGGCACCCTCCCAGCCGTGGCCCTGTGGCTGGTTGCCTCTGATGCTTTTGGGCACCAGGCCCTGCTGGCTGCTGGGGTTGAGAACGCAGGCTTGAAGTTGGCCAGGAGGGGCAAATGCCCAGCTGGACCCAGCAAAGGCAGGGGAATGACTGAGGGGGGTGGGGGAGGGCAGTGCGGTGGTTGAGGCGACAGTCTTGCTCTGCACCCCCCCAGGGAGGCCCACATTGACCCTCTCTGACCCCCACACCTTAGCTCTAGGTCTCCCCGTCCCCGCAGTCTGGGTCAGCACGGTGTGGGGGCAACCAGAGTGGTCACATAGACGGGGCCTTTCCTGGGGCCCCTGCTCTCCCTGCCCTGGGAACCCTCCAGGTGCCCAAGACCCTGACCTTTGGGAGCCCCTTGGAGTGGGTGCCTCACAGAGCAGGGGCACCTCCCATACTTCCAGCAGCCAGCCTCTGCCGCCTGCCCCCACTGCGGGCAGGATGCTGTGGCCTCCAGGAACCAGGCCAAGAAACCCCCCAGGATAATCCGGGTAGCCGCCCGGAGAGGGAGCTGCCAGGACCCCTCAGCAACCCCACCCCCGCCCGACAGCCGCTTCCTCCCCGCCCCCTCCCCACCCCCTCAGGCCCACGGCAGTGCCAGCTTCCAGGGAAGGCGCCACAGAAGGGAACCGCGGCTGCTGGAACCTCCGTTGCCATGGGGACGGGGACCACAGGACCCACATCTGGTAGCGATTGAGGAGGAAAAATTATGAGTCGTGGAAAACGCAAATATTTTTTGTAGCACAGAGCACAAAGGAGCGGGAGGAATGTGGGTCTGGAGAAGGCCTGAGCCAGGCTGGGTTTCAAATGGGGACGCAGCTCACATCACAGAGAGACGGGGCTCCACACACGCACCCCGCCACACACACAGAAACATGGAGACCATCATCCTACAACACGCGTGCTGGACGCACATGGCACACAGAGAGAGCTCCACACCCACGTCACCCAGATGGGGCTCCACACACGCAGCCCCCCCCCAACAGATGCACAAAGATGATCGCCTGGAGCGACACACACTCCATCAGACACACACAGAGACACACACACACACACACACACGCTGTGACATATACTCACACATACAACAAGACCCAAAGAAACAGAGAGACATTCATCTGCCAGTACACACACACACACACACACACACACACACACACACACACAGAGCTAGCCCACAGGAGGACGGGGAAGCACACTCACCCTGGAAGTCACACGCATGAAATCCAGCCGACACAGAGGCAGAAAGAGACTCATTCCACAATCTACACCACTAGCCACAGGAGCGCCGGGACAGAGACTCCCTGCAACTCACACACACATCCTGGCCCACAAAGAAACCACAGGACACACAACCCTGCAAGGCAAACACACCCACCACCAACTTACAGAAGCATTGAGAGAGACACACGCCTCACAACACACACACCGCCAGACCCACAGAAGCACCAAGAGACACTCACTCCTCAATCGCACACACCCTCCACCAGAGATGCCCAGAGGGACACACACGAAGACACACACACACATGCCACCAGACAAACAGAAACATGGTGATATATACACAAATTGCAACACACACATATTCCACCAGATTCACCTTATAAACAAAGACATCACCTGACACAGGCAAACATAGAGGCAGACACACCAAGAAATACACACACTGTACAGCAAACAGACACACAGGAATAGACAGAGAGCCTCTAACAGCCGGGCAGTTAGATGCCGAGCCAGCCCCTTGCGCTAACACACACACACACACACACACACACACACACACTCCTCTAGAAACACAGAGATGAGACCTGCTCACACCCCACAAACACACAAGCGCACAACCAGACACACAGAACATCAGGTTGACAAAATTTATCTGAACCCTGTGCTCCAGAAAAGCACTGAAGGTTGAGAAATCCCATCCTTCTGGGCTCTGAGAAATGGCTAACTCTGAAAGACCACTTTGCCCTCATACGTGCAAACCCCCCTCCACTCTTCCTCACGACTCCCTTGTCTACCTGCATCTAGAAAAATCCAAACCCCGTCCTTTCCATGTGGACATTCCTCATCAGTGAACTTTCTTCTTGTTGCTGTAGCCTGAATGAAATCATCTCCCTCACAGTCTGAGCCATTCCCCCCACCGAGGTTCTGGTGCCCTGACTGGTGTGGACTGGACCAACCTTAGGATCCCTCATGTGCCACCACTGACTAGCCCCAGGGACTCCTGCTCTGGTCCTGTGCTCTCTGGGCTCGGGGTCATTGCCAAGCATGCCAAGAATTTGATTTTGATTCTTTTTGAGGACTTCATTGATTTTTGGTGCCAGATTCTTTTGGTTTCATGGTCTGACCAGTTGGTTTTGTTTCTGTTATTCTTTCCGTTTGTCTGTTTGTTTTGAGCTTAAATCAATTAAGAGTTTGTACCCGCTGGGAAGACGGTTTAGAGACGTGGCCAATAGTAGATGGAAAGAGTTGCCTTGAAGGTTTTCTTAAGAGTGGTCAGAGAGGCTGCACTAGGAAGAGGTAAGCAAGCAGGTGCTTGTGACACACGCAGCAGCCAGGCGCTTTTGTGAGGTTTGCCCACATGCTTGGCAATGCCTCCCAAGAGGGCTGTGGTGTACAGGGTGGAATGAGGTGTAAGCAGAGGCCTGGGGGCAGTGTGAGAGTTGAAAAGTAGGTGAAGGTGTCGGCGGAGGTCAGGGCCCACGCGGTGGGGGGGGGCAGGGAGGAAGAGCATCTAGGTGCATGGGGCACAGTGGGGCATGGATGGGGCACCTGGGGTCATCATCAGGGACAGTCCATCTTCGGGCAACATCAGTGTAGGATGAGTCCCGCTGCAGGTCTGAGGTCACCTGGCTTAGTCAAGAAGTTGGTTAGTTTCACTACAGTTAATATGTGGAAACAACCTGAGTGTCCATCGATGGATAAATGGATAAACAAAACGTGTTCCATCCACACAACAGAACATTATTCAGTTTTAAAAACAGAAGTTCTGACACCTGCTACAACATGGATGAAGCTTGAGGACATTATAAGAAATGAAGTAAGCCAATCACAAAAAG